AAAAAAAAATTTTCATGTCATAAAACTGTATTTTTTATTTTAATTTTGTTATATATAGGTGAATCAAGATGCGGTGGTCAAGGTAAATTTAATTTTTTAAGCATATACAATATTTCTGTTATAAAAATTTTTTTTTTTCACAAGTTAAAATTAATCATATATTTTGTAATTAGAGCACTTTTATATGGAAACTAATGTTGCATTGGTAATTCCAAAAAATGAAGATAATGAATTCGAAATTCATACATCTACTCAAAATCTTAATGCAACTCAAGAAAAAGTTGCTGGAGTATTAGGTATCGCAGCTAATAAAATCGTATGTCGAGCAAAAAGGGTAGGCGGAAGTTTTGGTGGAAAAGAGACAAGAAGTATTATTTTACCAATGGCATTATCTGTTGGTGCATGGCATCTCAAAAAACCTATTAGATGTATGTTAGAACGTATTGAAGATATTATTATGACTGGACAGAGACATCCTTTCTTGGGCAAGTGGAAAGTTGGTGTAACTAAAGATGGAAAAATTTTAGCGTTGGATGCAAAGGTAAGATTTTTATAAAACTTATTATTATATTCCTTTTTTAATATTATATTTTTATATAACCATTTATTTTATAATTTAGTTTTATAATAATGGTGGTTGGTCATCAGATGTTTCTGTATTTGTAATTCAAATGGGTATATTTAATTGTGACAGTTGCTATTATATTCCGAACGTACAACTTACCGGATATTCTTGCAAGACCAACATTCACTCCAATACTGCATTTAGAGGATTTGGACAACCTCAGGGAGTGTTTATTACTGAATGTATGATAACTGAAGTTGCAGAGCGTATGGGTATAGACGTTAATGAATTTAGGGTATGCTATTTATAACATTTCGCATATCTGAGTTATTAATCTTATTATTAAATACAACTTTTTTTTTTTTTTTTTTCTTGAACAGGAAAAGAACCTTTACATTGAAGGTCAAAAAACTCCTTATAACCAAACGTTAACAGATTGGTATTTACCTTCGGTTTATCAGCAAGTTAAAGATACTAGTGAATTTGAAAAACGAAGAAAAGAAATCGACGAATTTAACTCTAATAATAAATGGCGTAAAAGAGGCATGGCACTTGTACCAATTAAATTTGGAATTTCTTTTCCTGTACCGTATTTAAATCAAGCTGGAGCTTTAGTACATCTAATAGGTTTTTTGAGATGCCATGCACCAACAGATAATGCCATTGGT